TCCTCCTCCTCCTCCTCCTCCTCCTCCTCCTCCTCCTCCTCTCCCCCCCGCCGGCAGGCTTCTCCCAGGGGCCGGAACGGTGCAGGCGCCCCGGCGCCATAGGGGAGGGTATTGTCCTTGTGGGGTCGGCTGGGGGTCTGAGGTGGCCCAGCACTGGTGCCGGCCACAGGAAGGAGGGCCAGGTTAGAGATGCTGGGCTCGACAAGGCCGTCTCCAGGTCTCCAGGGGCTGGTTTCGGGCCCCAGGACCATCAAAAACAGATCCGGGGCGAACAGCTGCACCATGGAGGGGCCCCGAGATAGGTCCGGGGACCCATGTTGAGCGGATTTGCCTTCAACCTCCCCCTATTGACCGACTTTCCTGGGGCCCAACCAGTTCATACCCCCTGGCCGCCCCATTTCTCCTTGCTTGGCATCGCTCGGACGTTTTTTTTGTTTTTGGTTTTGGCCCGGCGACGTCCATCGAGGAGCATCTTGGATCATCTTGCGAATCAATAAACGCACGAACTCGAAACATGCACGGGGAATGGACGTCCGATCGATGGCGAGCTTGTCGCCGTCGTCTTCTCATCGAGAGCAAAAGTATATCCTAACCCTAATAACGCGATGAAAATGTGGCCTCACTCAGGTCCCCGTTTTCGCATCAGGGATAATTGCACCAGAGGAAATCCCAATCAGTGGATGGTATGATGTGTGGTTATATATATATATATATGTTTAGGTGCTGTACTCACATATTTATATACACATGCATAAACATGCATATCCACTCCATAGCCATACCTCTCACTCTCGATGATATATGGTGTAGATTTGTACATGTGGCGAACTCTGGCACCAGGGACCAGGAACCCCGGAACCTAGCGGCAGTCCGGAACCTGGAAACAAGATCCTGGAACTCAGAGCCGGGAGCCCAGCCGCCCACCGAGACCATTCCGGAACCCGGAAATGGGAACCCAGATTCATAACCAGGAGCCCAGGAACCCTGCCGCCTACCGAAATCTGGCGGGGAGCTTTCGCCAATACCAATCTGGAACCCGGAAACGGGAACCCGGAACCCAGAATTGGGAATCTAGGAACCCGGCCGCCTACCGAAGTCGGCGGCGAATTTTCGACAAATCTTTCAATATCCGCTAGGAGCCTTACATTGCAAGCGCTGCTTGGGGAGTAAGTCTGGGCGGTTTGATCTGATACATCTGGGGTACGGGTACATGGATACTTTTATTGCTTATGAGGTCCCCTCCCAATGGGTCCCCTTTAGGTCCCCTCCCAATGGGTTACGGGAACTTTTATTGCTTGTCATCTTCGTCGTTGGGGTCGTTGTCGGATGTTGGTGGGCCTATTCCCTCGTGCGCTGGGGTCAGAATTACGTGAGTTCTCAAGACAAGCTCTCTCATATCACCAATCGTACCGCGTATGTTGACGGCGCTTCTTACACAGTCGTACTCTGTATCTTCCCAGCCCCTTCTTCCCAACTCCTTCCTCCCAGCTGGGTGCGCGCAGCCGAGGGGTGCATGTTTTCCCCGGTCCGTCCTCGTCGTCGTCCTCTTCTGCCCCGTGCGCTCGACTACCTTCCTGGCACGATTACAGGAGGCAGGCGGGTCCTGCTCGAGACGGGTCCTGGACCCCAGGGGCCTTACAGTGGAGGCCTATGCCAAGAAACGCCCTGCTTGCCTCCAGGGTGCCCTGAGTTTCTTGGGTTTCGATAGTTTTGCGATGGAAATCGTGACGCTCCCGCACCAAAAATCGGTGGACGCCCTTGGGTCTCGGGGTTGGGTTTCTTGCAGAAGGTTTTTTGTGGACTGGCCGCCATTGTTCATGAGGGAAAGAAACACACAGACACAATGAATCGTCGGCCCCCAGGAGAATATGGGAAAATATGGGAAGCGGGGGGGATGACGAAAACCCAGAACATCTGGGAAACTATGGGGGGTCCTGTCAGTTGTGCCAATTTGCTCGTGTGTCCCTGGGCCGCCAAGGACCAGTTGGCCGCCAAGGACCAGTTGGCCGCCCCAGGGGAGGCCCAGTACCGCCAAGTGGCCGCCCCAGGGGAGGACCAGTTGGCCGCCCCAGGGGAGGACCAGTTGGCCGCTACAGTTGGCCAACTGTAGCCGCCGAGGACCCGTTGGCCGCCCCACGGGAGGTCTCTCGACGGCCCACCCGAGGGGGCCCGCGGAGGGCCGCAAGGAGCCCGAGGACGGCGGGAGGCTCGAGGGCCCGCTTCCCACGGGGCCGCCCGCCTCCCTTCGCGGCGGCTCTCCGCCCGCCCCCCTTGGAGGAGGAGGAGGAGGAGGAGGAGGAGGAGGAGGAGGAGGAGGAGGAGGAGGAGGATGAGGAGGAGGAGGAGGAGGAGGAGGAGGAGAGGCCTCGTGCCCGCCGTGCAGCCCGCCGCTGCCCCACCCCGCTCGCCTCTCCCCCCCCCCCCCCCCCTTCGGGAGGGGGGAGGGTCAGCTGCGTCGGGCGGGGGGGGGGGGAGGTCGGAGGACGCCTCGCCTCGGCCGCTGGTCACCACGTGCAGAGACTGCGGGTGATCTGGGCCTGCCTGCCGACCGTGTAGCGTGCAGAATGGTGTCGCGTAGCCGAGGTGTCGAGTTCCTGATGATTGCGCGGACTCCTCCTCGTCAAATAGGGATTGTTGTAGATCACAACGGCATCACCCAAGCACATACTTTTAGTTACTGCTCATGCGTGTGAGTCTGCACCCCAGGGGCGACGTGCGCACCGAGAACACTCATGGTCCATGCTCGGTGGCGGTCGGTTTGACCCTGACGCCTGCGTCAATATATACTAGGGCATGCTTGTGCTATGTGTTCGGCTCGGACGTGCGCCTCCAAGGGGAGCGCGCAGTACTAGTATGCCCTTCCGCGTCCCATCATCACATACCCTCCCCCCTCTGCGTGGCGTATTCGTTTAGTCGCTTCTTCCCTGCATCGAGCTCGCTGGCTTTTCCCTGCCAGCACGCCCTCTAGGTTCAGTCTCGTGTGTCTGTCTGTCTGTCTGTCTGTCCGTTTGTCTGTCTGTCTGTCTGTCTGTCTGTCTGTCTGTCTGTCTGTCTGTCTGTCTGTCTGTCTGTCTGTCTGTCTGTCTGTCTGTCTGTCTGTCTGTCCGTCCGTCCGTCCGTCTGTCTGTCTGTCTGTCTCCTCTGTCCTCGACGTCCTCGGCCTTTGACGTCCTCGACGTCCCCGTCCTCCTCCTGACGCCCCGTGTGCAGTCGCTCTGCGTGCAGTCGTCCTCGACGTCCTAGGTGCAGTCGTCCTGCGTGCAGTCCTCCTCGACGCCCTGTGTGCAGTCGTCCTCGACGTCCTGGCTGCAGTCGTCCTAGACGTCCTCGTCCTCCTGACGCCGCTGCTGCGGGCGCCCCTGGAGAGCCCTCCCTAGCCCTCGGCCGGCGCCGAGGGCGAGGGGCGCTGGCAGCTCTCGGCCTCAGCGTGCGGCCTCCAGGGAGGCCCACAGGGCCTCCAGAGAGCCCTCCTCCTCCTCCTCCTCCTCCGCCTCCTCCTCCGCCTCCTCCCCCTCCGCCTCCTCCTCCTCATCCTCCTCCTCGTCTTCCTCCTCCTCCTCGTCCTCGCTCCTCCTCCTCCTCCCTCTCCTCCTTCTCCTACCTTTTCCCCTCCTCCTCCTCCCCTCCTCCTCCTTCCTCCCTCCTCCTCCTCCTCCTCCTCCTCCTCCCCTTTCCTCCTCCCTTTGTTTCTCTACATCTCATCCTCCTCCTCCTCCACCGCCTCCTCCTCCTCTTTCTCCTGCTCCCCTTCTCCCTTCCTCCTTCTCCTCCTTCTCCCTCTGTCCTCCTCCTCCTCCTCCTCCTCCGCCTCCTCTCCCCCTCCCCTTCCTCCTCCTCCTCCTCCTTCCTCCTCCTACTTCGTCCTCCTCCTCCATCCTCCTCGTCCCCGCCTCCTCCTCCTCCCCTCCTCCTCCTCCCCCTCCCCCTCCCCCTCCTCCTTCTCTTCCTCCTCCTTCTCCTCGCCCTATCCTCCTCCTCCTCCTCGTCCTCCTCCTCCTCCTCCCTCCTCCCCTCTCCCCTCTTCCTCCGCCTCCTTCTCATCCTCCGCTTCCTCCTCCTTCTCTACCACCCTCCGCCCCCCTATCCTCCTCCTCATACCCTCGCCCCCCCTCTATCCTGCCTCTCCTCCTTCTCTCCTCACGCCCCTCCTTTTTCCTCCTCTCCCTCCTCCTCCCCTCCTCCTCCTCCTCCTCCTCCTCCTCCTCCTCCTCTCCTCCTCCTCCTCCTCCTCCTCCTCCTCCTCCTCCTCCTTTCTTGAGGCCCATGGTCGGAGGAGAAACGGAGACCACCGCCTCCAAGATCGGCGTGGAGCGAGGGGGGAAGGGAGGAGGACAAGGCCTACTCGGAAGTCGGCGGCGCTTCTCAGAAGCCCTCGCGCCTTCTGAGAAGTCGTCTCCTGCGTCTTCGGGGAAGGCCGAGAAAAGCTCTCAGAAGGCCGGGGGACTTCCGAGAAGGCCGCCTCTTTCTCACATCCCCCCCAAGGCTGTCGGCCGACCGCCGGGGGGACCCCGATCCTGGGCGGTCGCCCGCCGGAGCACCGCGCGGCACAGGGTGGACGCTCGGGCGTGCCACCGCCCAGGGGCTGGCAACTCCCCCCCCCTGTGGGTTCTCGGTGGCAGTGGCCTCTGTTTCTCCTCCTCCTCCTCCTCCTCCTCGTCCTCCTCCTCCTCCAGCTCCTCGTCGTCGTCCTCCTCGCCCTCCTCCTCCTACTCGGGGCCGCATGGGCCCCAAGATGGCGCGACAAGCGGGAACCCTCCCAGGGCCAGGCGCGCCTCATGGCAGCTTCCGACCCCTCCACCACTCAGTGGCAAATGGCGGTCCAAAGTCTGTGTATATACATAGTGTTTGCATCGATATACGTACATACAGATTCAGCGCCTGGCGCCTGGAGAACGGGCCAGAACACTACACATGATGCGTTGCCCCGTGGCGTTTCTCCGAAGCCCCAGCCAGGACCCCGATACCTCGGTGTATATATTTATATCTATATATATACACGTGATCCAGCGCCCTCCTCCTAGTGCCAATGGGATCGCCCCCCCTCCCCGGCTGCATGGGTACGCCTGTGCATCTCGCGCGGGCATCGCGCATCGGATCGCCCCCCCGCCGCCCCCCGTGGTCGTGGCCCTGGGCGTGGCGTGGTGGTGTTTGCCGTCGTCGGTCGTCGGTCGTCCGTCGTCGGTCGTTCTCGTCGGCCGTCGGTCGTCGTCGCCCGTCGTCGTCGTCAGTCGTCGGTCGTCGTCGTCGTCGTCGTCGTCGTCGTCGTCGTCGTCGTCCGTCGTCGTGGTCCGTCGTCCGTCGTCGTCATCGTCGTCGTCGTCGTC